TAGACCTCACATGAGGGTAAAACGTCTTGAATTCTGCCACTGCCACTTGCAGTAAGAAGAATGAAAGATTAACTTAAGGTTGCAAAGTAACATAAAGTTTTTTACTTATCTTTGTGATATTCGGACATCATTTTTTCATTTTTTTCTGCTGCCCAGTCCTGGAAGGTAGCGAAGATTACTGTTTGGTTTTTATCTTCCTTCTTGTGCGGGTACGCCCTTCAGTTCCTTCCTCTATGAGCTTTCTTTTCCTTTCAGTTCGGTCACCCTTGAAGACATTTTTTTTTCTTTTTTTTGCCTCTGCCTGTGGTCTTGGCCGTTTTTTTGATGGGCAGCTGGTCTTGGCGGAACCGGGACACTCTTCTCTCTCGTTCCCCCCTGCTTGGATCTTGTTGCTGGCTGTTCAAATTTTCCTTGTTTCTTTTTCTTTTGCCTCCGCAGCTGGTGTTCCCTCAGCTATTCGTCGACATTTGCTGCGTAGACTCCTGTCCGATGGGTAGATCTTCCGTTTGTGAGCCGGGTTATAGTCGCCGTTATTTTCTCTTTCTCCTGGCTCTCTTTGCATTCGTTGTACTTCTCCCTTCTTCATTCTGGGGGTGGTCGGTGCGCTCTCTTTTCTGGTCGGTGGAACGGCATCTTTTTTTTCTTGTTACCTTCAATTTTCCAACGGGGAAACTTTCTTTTTTCAATTGCTCCTGCCTCCTAATGGCTTGCCCTTGTGATTGTCGTTGTTCCACCTCTGGAGCTTGTGCCTGCCGTGCCGGATCCTGCCAAAGATCTTTAAATATTTGCATTTATTTACGTACGGTCATAGAATGGTTTTATCTGGTCAATGTTTGCGGAGCAAGTTTCACCATTCCTGGCTTTTTTAACACTACTACAGCCTGAGTTATTTTTTCTATGACATATATGGTCCTTCAAATCGCGGAAAAAATTTAGCAGTTTTATCTTTCTGGTGCTGAAGAAAGTGAATGCTTAATTTTTTAATACTTCACATCTCCTACTTTATAAGTTACTCCCCGTCGTTTTCATATCGTAATACAGTTTCTGTTTTCTCTGTGCTACTTCAGTGTTCTTTTTTTTTTTTGCTTCTTTAATTAATTTTTTTTTTTAATTTTTCTATATCACCCATTTTAAATTCTGGGGCTCTTTGTTGAACATAAAATAATTTATCTAACGGCGTTATAATCTTCTTTCTGCCTAAAAATAACTCAGCAGGAGTTTTTTTTGCCCGTTGTATCATGTTTGCGGTCCCTAAGGGCGAAACTAATTCATTGACATATTTATCCCAGCTTTTATGAAAAATGAGGGCGGAAAATGATACTTTTTCTGAATATTTATTAATATATCTGATTTTATTTATTTTTTTTTATTTTTTTTTTTTTTTGTTTTTTTTTTTTTTTTTTTTTTTTTTTTTTTTTTTTTTTTTTTTTTTTTTTTTTTTTTTTTTTTTTTTTTTTTTTTTTTTTTTTTTTTTTTTTTTTTTTTTTTTTTTTTTTTTTTTTTTTTTTTTTTTTTTTGTTTTTTTTTTTTTTTTTTTTTTGTTTTTTTTTTTTTTTTTTTTTTTTTTCGTTTTGTTTTTTTTTTGTTTTTTTTTTTTTTTTAATTTGGTGACGAAAGCTGTAGTAGTGAGTTTATTAGAAGACAAACACACAACCTCTCTTATGTATATATATATATATATATATATATAGATTACCCTCAAACCGTAAATATTATTCCTAATCTACTTTCTTTATTATTATTCATACACTTCATTCATGCAGAAATCCTCAAACTTCCTATTTAAGAGTAACATAATTTTACGATTAATAACAACCAGTTAAATTTCAGCCCCAACGGGCTGTTAGATTCGAAACGAGATTTTGCGTCATTCTCTATAATAGCTGCATTACTTTTCAAATTGTTGCCAACAAATATTATCGTTCTGCATTATTTTTGAAAAAAAAATTAAATAATGAAGAATCTGTAGGTATGTATGTATGCTCCTCGCATTGCGAAGAAAACTACGGTACCTAGGGTTATCAAATTTTGAATAACGTAATCCTCCCCCTTCCCCCCCCCCCCCGCATATTGGTACTTAGAAGCCCGAATCTTGAATTTCGTATTCGATATTTGATATTTTTTTTAATTGCAATGAATGTTTTATTAACAGGCTCAGTGTTTTGAAAGTGGACTGTGACAAAACTGCAAGCGATGAAACATTTTTATCTCCAGCGGTCTCAACTGCTGATATGGTGGTTTTAAGTATTTCATAATTTTGATGTTCAATGGAATTTTATGCCGCATAAGTGCAAAGAACATGATATTTAATTAATACATTTAACAAACAAAACGTTAATAATAAAAGGACAAAAAACCTTTTGTAATCCATGTTATTGAGAAAAACTCAACATTAGTATGTTCACCTGGTAAAGACTAACAAATAATGAAAATATATAAAAATGTATGCCAACACTTGGCACTACATCAGGAGTTCTAAACAGATTCTGATGTACTGCTTTTATAATGTTGGTAATTCTGCTGTGAATTTTATATGGAATCAGTGCAGAGAAAGCAACGCTAAATAATAAAGCTAAAAGGAGGAAAGTAAAAGACAAAAGGAAATGTTGACAAAAGGAAAAATTGTATGAGTGCAACAGCGCATTGTTAGGTTGCAAGAAATTCAGCGAAAGCGTAAGAACACCTTAAGAAACCCTTCTGGGCGATCGTTAGTCTATAAAGGGGCAATTTGCCCCGAAGGACTACAATTTCGTTTTGGCATTTTGCGTCGAATACTTTAAAAGGCTGAATAACTTTTCAAATCGTTGCCACCATACATTAGCTCCCTGTCTTATATTTAAAGAAATTAAGTAATAAAGAATCTGCCTAAATGTATGTATGTTTCTCGCATTGTGATAAAACAACGGTACCATCAAAATTTGATAATGCAATCTTTCATAGAATATGGGCATGTGGAAGCCCTAATTTGAATTTGAAGTTTGTTTTATTATTAACTTCAGATTTTGTAACATTCCAATGAATTTTTGATTAAAAAGCTAAACGATTTCAAAGCGAGCAAAGGCAACACTGTACAAAAACAAAAACAAAAAAAAAAAAAAAAGGTTTATCTCCTACGCGCGAGACTCTGTATCGGAAATTCTAAAAACATGTGTTTCGGTGAAACACCGAAATCTGGAGAATGTCGACTTTCACCAGTGAATGTCAACATTCACACAGTCACTTGGTGTATGTCCGAAATATTTTCCAAATACTCTTATTTTTGACTTACACCGGTGAATGTCGACATTCACCATGTACTAATGATGAATGTTTGAACATATAAGAATATTATATTTCCTTCTCCGTAATTCATTCGCGAAAAAACGCACTTGAGACTCATAATAAGAACTTAAGAATATAAGAACTTAAACCACACTGTACATTCAAAATGAGAAAGGAAAATAACAGAAGTTCTAAACTTACCAAATTATGTGATTCAAATCTTATTTATTGCAACAACTTAAACTATTATGACACTTTGAATTGCACAAGAGGCCCTTACTTTTAGAACTGCATTTATTTGTGGAACACTTCCTTTTGGAATGGCAGCGTGTACATATACTCCTCTCTTTTCGACCTACACCAGAGCATATCTGCGATTGTCGACATGCACCGGTGAGGGTCCGAATGTACAAGAATGTAAAGAAATATTCGATCTTTCACCGACGTATTTGGTGAATGTTGACATTCTCCGGTGAAAGTCGACATTCTCCAATTTCGGTCTTTCACGGTAGCATATGCTCATTTTAAATTAACTTGTGATATTGTTTTTTTCCCAATGGCAGATTGTGAACATTTACAAATGTAACCCAGTCCATTAATCTATACAAGGCCGGATGTGGTGGTCACTTTATTATGGAGGCACCTAATAGGTGGGCCACCATCGCCATTCCTATGAAGGAACGGACAGTTACAATCATGCCTTCTCCGTGATTCAAACCCAGGCCCTTCGGCATCGCAATCAGCTTCCCTGACCACTATACCGACTGGGCGGCATTTGTGATATTGTTGTTGAACTGAAATTTATAGTTTGAGTAGGTAGAACATGATATTTAATATATAAAGGTAACACACAAAATTAAAACTTTGGACCTTTAAAATCTGAAACCTCTCAGATTTTTAAAATCTGAAATCCTTTCCGATTTTTCTTTCCCCTTCCCTCTTTTTCTTTTCTTTTTTTGGGGAGAGAGGGATGCTTAAATCTGTGTTTTCTAATCTTTTCCAACTAGTGGAGTATTTAAGTTAACCCTTAAGAGTATGCAGTGTATTGATTAGATTTTGAAATACTATAATTACTAAAGGGAATATTATGCTAATATACAATATAATAAAATAATATTTAGATTAGCTTTCGCAAATTGTATACTTAAGGTACCAGAGCGTTTGGAACTTCCTGTGAGGTTGCAAAAGTTTCCTCCTCCGTTCCCTTTGATCTCACAATACGATTTCCTCTTTTTTCGAATGGCATCATCATTAGTTTCTCTTAAAGAAGTCTTCCTTTTGATCGTTGCAATCATTGATCTGAATAAATGATGATGCTCTATTGTAAAGTGACCTTGAAACCACAAATTACTTTTCCATCCAACAACAAGTACTAGTGGAGTAGTTAAGTTAACCCTTAAGATTATACAGTAAAAGAGATGTAAGAAGTCTAAAAGAGAAAAAGAGTCTGTCTAAAAGAGATGTAAGAAGTTTAACTATCTAAAACTTATAGTAGTTATCTGCTAGAATATAGTTTAAAAGGGGAACAAATAACGGATTATCTCATTGTTGGTTACCTGCATGACAAACCATAAGTACTATGGAGTCGTAAAAAGATTAATGTTAATGTAGTATATGGGTTTTATTAAGTTTGTCAAAACATAATTTATGGGTTCCAGCCTACTACTTAAATTATTTTCGAAATGCGCTGAACAAAGTACAAAACAAATACTTTAAATTTCACCTTTTACTTATTTCAGGTCGATCTTGAATCCCTGAACGCAGAAAAGATTTTTCTTCTTTTAGTTATGGATATTCAGCTCCAGAAGGAAACATTTAAAGTCCGACAGATTTTCAGTGAAATCGACGACTATTTACATACTGGAGGTAAGTGAGCTATTTAACTTCAGTACTTTAAATTAGTGTAAACGAAGTTAATAAACCATTTCCCAAAGATATGTTTCCTATGTAGTCGAAACAATCTCAAACATTGCCTGGCATTAAAACGAGATTTTCAGATATTATGCTCATTTAATGTTTTTAGAATTTTGCTGATTTATTCTCATTTCTTGGAAATTAATTCAATCAACTTATCAGGAAATCGAGGAAATGTACTGACTGTGAGGACCAATTCAAAATTAATAACTATTAAAAACGATTTTAATGTCTATATTAAAATCCCTCACGTAAATAATTTGTAGAGTTTATAGCTTGTTTTCAAGCAGGAGACATGAAAATGAGCAATTCCCTCGCCGGGACTCGAATCTGGACTTCTCGAATACGCGCTGAATGTCTTACACCACGAAAACATTCTGAAAGAAGAAGAATATCCTTTTTTTAAAGCCGACTGGAGATTGGACCCAATCACAAAATCAGAATCATCATCCACCGCCTTTTAGTTCGGGCGCCACTGTAGAGTCATTAGGATTTTTTGAAGCACGAAACGTGAAAAATGAGGAATGTCCTCACCGGGACCCGGACCTCGAGCTATCGAATACACGCCGAGAGTGCTAACAGTTACACCATTAAGGCATGCTGGAAATAGGGAGAAAATGTCATATTAATTTATTATGTAAATTGATACTTACTTTATAAATTATCAACTAGGATTCGTCTTTGCCTTTTATCATATAAACAACTGTAATTCGAATAATTTTTAGCAAATAATATACACTGCCCCCCCCGAAAAAAAGGGGGACAGTTCTCACGACAAAATATATCAGGACAAAATATCTCACGTTCTGCTGGACCGACTGCCGAAATTCAAATTGCGTTTTTCATGTCTCGAAAGCGCGACTTAGCATATATATTAGATTTATATATAGCATTGTTCTAACATAGGTATTTTGACATAAAATGGATCTTTCTGAAATAACATACCAATGTTTTCCCATATTTCGATTCTACAACTCAAATTATGCCTAAATATTAAATTTTGTAAAATTCGGTGCAACATTTACGGAAAAATTCAAAAACTTAGCTTGGCGCATTTTTTTCAGTTTGCGCCAGAACCACTTGGAGAACTTCCACTTAATGTATGGCAACCTATTTTCTTTTCCCTTACATTTTCCAGGAGCGGGATAAAAGTGACTTCGTTCCTAGCTTTTTACATTGTGCATGAGTGGGAATAAAGTTATATCTTTCGTACTTTCAAATATTTTTAACAAAGTGCCTAAACCACATTAGATACGTCATTATCGCTTTCAACAAATATGCCAAATTTTAAAACGCGCCAAAGTGCTATAAATTCACGTAATCTTCGGAAATGTTGGATAAAAATCTCTAATTTTTTGCAGGTATTCTTAGAAATGTATGTACTTTAAGACAATGGTAAAAATTTGATACGTTATAATTCAAAATGTTTTCCACAAATTTATAAAAATTATTTTAAAATACAAACTTTAAAAATAAATCATAAAAAATGGGTGAATTTTATTTGAAAGGAAACTAAATTTCGAACTGTGAAAGAAGGAATGAAGTAAGTGTAATAAAAAAAGAGATATTAATAAGTGCATACCAAATTGAATTAACACTGGGGAGCTAAAATTTTGAGAGCTCATTTTTTAAAAACTACTCGGGCAGTTTTTACAAAACTTGGAAGTTTGGCGTAATTTGAGTCGTAGAATGGAAATGTGGGAAAAACTGGCGTTTCATTTCAGAAAAAATCTGATTTTGTGTCAAAATACCTATATTAGTATGATGCTATATACTATAAATCTAATGCATATTCTAAGTAGCGCTTTCGAGACATGGAAAATGCAGTTTGAATTTCGTCAATCGGCCCAGTAGGATGGAAGATATAGAACTGTCCCTCCTTTTTCTTTTTTTTTTTTTTTTCCCCCGCAGTGTACATAACTTTCTTACTATATCTCTTCCTAATAGCCCTCCCCGAACTATAAAAAAACAAACCCATTATTAGAAAAAATGATATTTCCAATTCTAAATACGCCCCACATTCTTTGGAGTGAAACCTTGGTTCACAAACGTAATTCATTTCTGAAGACGGCTCGTCACCCGAAATATTCGCAAACCGAAACAATTTTCTAATTCAAACTGTAGAGACATTAGGTATTTTCTGGAAGCTGAAGAAGTGAAAAATGAGCAACACCTTCACCAGGAATGGAGCGAAGGACCTCTGGAATACGTGACCAGCGTGCAGACCACTTCACCACGAAGGCACGCTAAGAAGGCGGAAGAAACACATTATATACTCCTCTTTTTAAAAGACGAAGCCCGCTCGGCGCGTATTCGAGAGGTCCGTGATTCGAGTGCTGGCGAGAGCATCGCTCATTTTTCATATCTCCTGCTTCCGATTAACCTAATACCTCTACAACTCAATGCTTTTGTCCATCTTTAAGTATACTTTTCTTAAAAGATATTCAAGGTGAAAGTTCACATTTTCCATATTTGTGGTAGTAATTCTTTTTATAGATATACTTGCTGAAATAATCAAAACAACAAAAACGTTTCTTGATAAAAAATTTTATAATTTTTGAAAGAATTTTCTTAAAAAGTTTTCATTACGTTTCTTTTAAAGGCAAAGCCAAAGTCTATCTTATTATTGTTGAATGGCATACTTTCTGCAGTCATAACGAATTTTGCAAAAATAGTTAAATAGTGTTTTGGAAATGTTTACCCAAAATATGCTGCATTATTTATGTCTTTTAACAAACTAAAAAGAAATATTAAATAGCACTAGTAAATTAATTTATGGAACAGCAAAAGGTTATATTTTTTCAGGCAAAAATATCTCTCTCATAATTTTGTTCTGAAATTAAATATATGTAGAAGTTCTAGAAATTTTCACAGATGTCTCCAACATTGTGCACAGAGTTGCAACTGACATGGCCAGATTCCATTACGCCCGTCTGTATCAGTTTTCGCCTTGCAACATCTGTTGTTAAATGAATCCTCTCAGAGATTTGGATGTAAAATTCCTTGCAGAAGAGTGGCTTTCTTATTCACTGCATATTAAAATTCTGCTAGCTTTTAATGTATTCGATTTCGGCTGGATATGTACTGGAAGGAAAGGGACCAAGGTAAAAAATGAAAGAGTCGTTTTTTATCCATAATCAAGAAAATACCATTTACTTATGGCATTCTGAGGAAATTAAAAATTTCACACTAAATCCGTAACGATCGGGGTGTGAAGGAGATCATCCTGTTTATATAGAGTAATGTAATTAAAGATCTTATTTGAGATCACTGTAGAACAAAGACTGTGCTATTTATGACAACACACGAAGTTTTTCGTCATCCTTATAGTCGTTATTCATCAAAATTTATTCTAAATTTTAGAGGTTTTAGCTTGGAAAACATTTTAAAATGTATATATACTTATCTGATTGACGACAGCTGTTTGCACACTCAATAAATATAATGTTTTTAAGGACTGGAATTTAAGAATTATCATTATCACAAATTAAACTTAATTAATTAATGTGTACCTGAAGTTACACATAATTTATACTTAATTAGTAATATATGTGTATGTATGTATGTATGTAATAATAAAATTCCATAGTCAAAAATACACCTAAAATTCTAACTGTATGTTCTTTTCATTTTTTAATGGCGACGGTCTCTTTATTTGAAAGTACGTGGAATTAAATCCACAGCCATAGTCAAGTTGTTTTTTCCGCCTTTTCTACACGTACAGTTATAGAATGTTCTGGAGATATTTAAAGCAAACTGGAATGGTTGACGAGGCTGACGTCATTTCTTGGAAGTTCCGCCTTTCCAGAGGCTATAAAAGGACTCGCAAAGGAATACCGGGGTCTTTTCTTTTAATGTAACGATGCTGTAAACTTCATACAAAAAGTTATTAGTGGTTCTTTTTATTTACTCCGGAGATCTGATTTTTATAACTGCTATTTCTCCTGAATAATAATAAATGGATTCCGTTTTTTAAACTTATCGTCTGATACTTTAAGTTACGACTACATCTATAATTCTTCACCAATCTATTTATTCCGGACAAAAGCTGGTACATCACATGTATATATTATTGATAATTAATAATGTATGTGTATATATACTTAAAGAATAATGTATGTGTAACTTCACTTAAAAAACACAAAGATCAAACTCAGCTAATGATTTATTTGTTTCGGCATGTAAGCTACACACAAAAGTTAAGAATTAACGAAAATGTCAACTTCTATTTAAGCAATTCAAGTTATTTAAGCAATTCAATACTTTAAGTTACGACTACATCTATAATTCTTCACCAATCTATTTATTCCGGACAAAAGCTGGTACATCACATGTATATATTATTGATAATTAATAATGTATGTGTATATATACTTAAATAATAATGTATGTGTAACTTCACTTAAAAAACACAAAGATCAAACTCAGCTAATGATTTATTTGTTTCGGCATGTAAACTACACACAAAAGTTAAGAATTAACGAAAATGTCAACTTCTATTTAAGCAATTCAAGTTTTCAGCAAGCTTAATAAACTCAATTAAAATTACAGCTACAAAGCCCCCTCTGCTTCAGTATATTTTACTCTTCTCAGCACTGGTTTTGAATAGATAAACCAAATCCCGTGGCAGTTCATATCAGCACAGCAGCTAGTAATTCGTTGTTTTGAGTGTTACGGAAACATAGGATCTTAAGAGCTTTAGTATCGCCAATTCATGCTCTCACTTACCATTTAAACTTAATTAAATTCTGCTCAAGATTGACTGACATACAGTAACAGCAAAAAAGCATTAACACGGAAATAATTGGCTAATATAAATAAACCTTATAGAATTAATTTAGCTGTCCCACCGGTATAGTGATTAGCTCCGTGCCGGAGCCCCGGCTTCGAGTCGCGGAGGAGGCATGGATGTTTATAAATGTATAGTGTCTGTGCGGCATAGTGACACTCTACATATGAGGCGAGCCGGAAGTCTCCTCGAGAGGTTGATGTTAGGTAAAGATGGGTGGGAGAGTTAGGGATAGAGGGTGGGAGGAGGGGTGTTAAGGAAAGAGGAGTCTCCTACAAAACTGGTGGCGAAATCGCACTTTACCTGCAAGGTGCTCAAGGCTGTTGCCAACGATAGGCGTAAACTTGCGTTCCTTGCCACGATGAATTTCGTACGCTTGGGATCACTATAGGTCAGACGAGGGAGAATTAGCAACAACAACAACGCCGGGATTAATTGATTAGGTATGTTTATAATTAAAACACAATAACACGCCGAACAAATACTAATTCAGAAGTCAAACAACAAAATCAGCGTTATATTTTCAAAATTTTCACAGCACTAGTTTCGATGGTTTTGCCGAACCACCATCCTCAGCTGCAAAACCGCAAATGAACAAGATAGGAAATAATGATTAAATAAGATAAGAAAGCCTGGACAAGAACAAGCAAGTGGCGCCATCTGGTGGTGAAACCAGAACTAAAACATAATTTCTTTAAAGGCCGAAGGCAAAGATGGATTGGAATTAGGATCGTTCCGTTTCTAATTCCAATCCTGTTCTAGTTAACTTTCTGTTCTAGTTAACGATCCTAATTCCAATCCATCTTTACCTTCGGCCTTTAAACAAATTATGCTTCAGTTCTGGTTACGCCAACAGATGGCGCCACTTTCCCACGCTTTCTTATCTTATCTAATCATTATTTCCTATCTTGTTCATTTGCGGTTTTGCAGCTGAGGATGGTAGTTCGGAAAAACCATCGAAACTAATCCTGTGAAAATTTTGAAAATATAACGCTGATTTTTGTTGTTTGACTTCTGAATTAGGTATATTTATGTCGAGCTAATATTCTGGACCAAATGGTTGTGATTTCATTTCTAACTACATTGTTTTATTTAAATTTTTGTGAAATTTCTGATTTCTTCAGTTACGATTCTTGTAGTTTAAGATTAATTTAAAAGCGTATAATAGGTAAGTTATAATGATTTAAAAATTAAGTGAATTTTAGTTTTTTAATCTACTTCCTGACAATCTGAGTACTATCTTTTCTCAGTAACTTTCGATTACTTTCCGCTTTTCTCAGTCACTAAACTGTGGTTCCTCAGATTTCACTTTCAAAGATAAATTTCGGTAGAAATGCAGTGGACCATTTCTATTCCTAGCAAAATAAATGTTCACAAACCTTAATTGTTAATTAAGGAAGAGTAGTTTAGAAAGGAAAATTACCTATATGAAATCACATTGAGAAATGGACTGCTGTTTGGTTTTTATATGACACATTTCTTTAATAGATAAAAGTAGATTTTTCATCCATCTTTAAACAATATGTTTTGTCTTCCCAACATGCAGATCCCATCATTCGAGAATGGTTCCTAATCAACAGCAAATTTTGGCCTGCATTTCTATGCACGATGTACCTAATTGTTGTCAAAATAGTCGGCCCAGCTTTTATGAGGGATCGAAAGCCTTTTGTGCTGAGGAAGACACTGATCGTATATAATTTATTCCTGGTGATTACATATTCTGCCACTATATATGTTGTAAGTATATGGACTGGGAATTTTCTTCTTATTCAAATAGGTATGTAGCATATATAAATGAAAATTATCTCCTATGAAATATGAAGTCAAATTTAAGTAGCAAATGTGGAAATTGTCGAAATTCTGGAATTTTGTAAATGGTTAGACTAGAATTATGAATTAAAATACAAGACTAAAGAATCAAGAAAATTATTGTTGATTCCATAGAAAGATCCCGACTTATCAAGAGGAATTAGAGCCTCTCCAACAATTCTTGAGAGGCGCGTTTTGTCGTTTCGCATATCTCAACAAAATCCCTATTCCAATTTTACGTTTCTATTCGTTTTTATTAAATACGAATTTAAATCTTAAGAGTTCAGGCATGTGAAATAATTCCTCGACGAGGAATAGACAATTAATTACAATTAATTTCAAAAATAAATATACTAATCATACAGATATACCATATTAATACGTAAAAAACATGTTTACTTAATTTTTATTTATTTATTTAATTATTTATTTTCATTTGCCTCTTCATTTTTAGTCCAAAGGGATTTGAATCCCGAAGAGTAAACTATTAGTTTCGTTTTCGCATTTTGCGTCGGACTCATAAATGTCGGTTCACTTTTACAAACTGTTGCCACAAAATGTTAGAGTCCTGCATTATATTTGAAGAAATTAAATAATGAAAATCTGCGTAAATGTATGTATATTTCTCACATTGTCATAAAATAACGGTACATAGAGTCATCGAATTTTGAATAACGTAATCCTCCAACGAATATGAGCATGTGGAAGACCAAATTTGAAATTTGAAATTTGTTTTATGATCGATTTCCTTTTTTTTAAAACTTTGACGAATTTTTGATTAACAAACTCAAGGATTTCAAAGCGAGCAATGGCAACGTTGTGTAGAAAAACATTTTTATCTCCAGCGCGTGAGTCTCTGTATCGGAAATTCTAAAGATATGCTCGTTTTAAAACTATTTTGCGATATTGCTGTTGCACTGGATCTTATGGTTTAAGTGCGAGGAACATGATATTTAATAAAGAAAGGTAACACACAAAATGTTTAAAAAACGCCCCTTTGGACGTAATTTAAAATCTGAAACATTTCAGATTTTTTTTTTTTTTTTTTTTGTATATTTTTATCCTCTTGTTCTCTATGAGTACTATACTATTTTTGAAATTAATTGTAATTAATTGTCGTCGGAAAATTAAGCATATGATTGGAAAATGAAGCATATCATCAGAAAATTAAGCTCGTAAGCGCATGATAGATTTGAATAGGGATTTTGTTCAGATATGTGAAATGACGAACCGCATATCTTATGAATTATTGGTGGTTACAAATAGAGGTTCCAATTTCCCTTGATCAGTTGGGATCTTTCTATGCATTCAGCAATAATGCTCTTGTTTTATTATTTGGGTTTGCATTTTTAATTAAGAGTTATGGTTTAATGATTCACATATTCCACTTAATAATTTTCACAATAATTTACATTTGCTATCTAAATTTCACTTTACATTTCATACATCTCTCTTTTATATATTCTCTATTAAATTAAATTTTATCTTTATAGCTATAGCGTAGGATTTTGCCTTTTATGTCTTTTATAAATAAATTTAAAAATCCATTAACTTTATAGTTTTCTTCATATATATATGTATGTATATATTGTTGCGTTATTTTCTGACACCAGTTATTACGTTATGTTCTTCTTTCACGCTCGTACGGGGCTCGGGCTGATTTGGAGTGAATAACAAGAACAGCTCTTCTTGATGAAGTATCGAAACACACTTTATTTAGTCAATATTAATCAGGACAGCTAAAAAATCTCGTTTGCAGTCGTAGAACTGTTATAAACACGCTGACACGATCAGCGACACAGCTTTCAGGTTATCAAGCCATCACGGTGGAGACAGCTTCACTGCAAAGCACCAGAGTACAGCTCCCGACTCTGCTCGGTCGTTCTCGGAACTCCACGTACTCTCGAGACTCTCCAAGCTACAGCTCCCCATACACTCCACGACACACAGAGCACAGCTCCCGATTCTTCGATTCAGTTGTTCCCGGAGCGTAACACACTCTCTCAACGATGCATTAACCGCGATACACTAAGAGATTCTTTCGGTGCACTCGACGACCCACTCAGCACTCGTCGGCCGACTGTCAACTCGATCGATTCCACACGAACTGACTATACTGACGAGACACTAACTATCTCGCACTCTGACTCTCCGCGTAGTTGCAGAATTTATATAGTTTTTGGCTTGTGTTCGAGAACATTCTGGGCTAAACCGGTAAGTATTCGTTCAAGAAGGTTCCCCATCCGTCCATGACAATTTTGTCGCCAAATGGACGATTTCTCACCAAATGTGGCAACCCTGTCTTATGGCAACCCTAAAACTGCTTTGTGGGAAAGCTATCTTATCGCGCCTGGACATTTCGTAACAATATATATATTGGAATACCGAGTTTACTGACATAATTCTTCTCCCTTTCAGCCTCAATTTTACCAGACGAAAAATGAGAGAGAAAGATTAGTAAGATGTTATATTAATTTGGAGAAAAAGGGTAAAGGAAGAATTTATATGATGCTGCCTATCCCGTGAACTACGGGTAAAAGGGAAAAAAAATAAGTTGCTGAATTTAAATCCCAAAATTCATTCGTGCTAAAGCCTTATAGCAGTAATGTAAGCTATTTTATGTTAATTAACCAATTTTTACGATTTAAACCTTTACTATGACTTCTTCTTTTCTCTAGACCTCATCAGAAATGGAAATGACCTCTTAGGGTTTCTAACTCAACAGTTTTCAAATTTTTAAATATAGATCTACTGGAAGCAACTCTTTCAGCTTTATTTCCTCTCGCTCAGCTCTGTCCGTTAATATTCCGTATTTAGTCATTTTACTAACCGGAGTTAAAATGCGCTTTTTAAGTTTTAAACCACCTTAGATAGGTCACTTTTGCACAATATTTCTCAGTTTGAAATTTCAGCTTTGTTACTCACAAATGACGAAGTCTTGTTATACACACAGGTCGTGCTTTCTGTTCATTTCAAGATTAAATAAAAAAGTTATTTAAAATTATTTTAAGGCGTCAAACATAATATTTCAAACTCCGCTTAGTCTCTTGTTAGTCTAGTATATTTTAAATGGTACTTTACTTAATATTAACACTCTGTAGTATTAAGCAAAAATCAATTTATAGAATGTACTGGTGTTCATAGTATATTATTGCATCGTTAACCACAAAAAGAATAAAAAGTAGCATTTAACTATTACAATTATTTTGCTCTTTCCGAAGGAGGTTATATATTTACTCTCCTGGAGTATAAAGATGCATTTCCTCCTTTTACTGTAGCATTATACACTCACGTTTGTGAAAATTGCAACACCATGAAGGACTTACGCGAGTGAGCTGAAATTTTCAGGAAATGCAAAGTAGCGCATGATATGCAAATGATTAGAATTGCAAATCCGTAGCGCATGCGTATGCTGAGCAGCGCCCTCTGAACGGCTGATGGATACGAATAAATAGACGGCTGTAGCGAGGCGTGTATGGTTATCGGTGGTTATCTGCTAGTGGTAAACGTTAACTCAATCTGTACTTATGCCTCGTCGACGAAAGAGAGCGAGATTTGAACAACTTACAGAGTTTGAACGAGGGAGAATCATCGGCCTTCGTGAAGCTGGATTGTCGTATCGTGCAGTAGCCTCTCGTGTGCAGCGTAACAGCAGCACAGTGATGCGCGTTTGGAAGCAGTGGACGGACGAGTGTCGGACAACTCGGAAATCCGGGAGTGGACCCCGAAATGTGACGTCAGCTCGCGATGATAGACACCTGGTCCGCATGGCGCGGACGGACCGTACAGCTTCCTCTAGACAATTGGCAGCACTGTGGTCAATAGCTACAGGTGTTTCATTGTGTGCTTCATCAATTCGTAGACGTCTGCTGCAGTGTGGACTGCGCGCACGGACTCCTTTATACAGGATCCCCCTAACGCACGACCATCGCCGCCTGCGGCTACAATGGGCCAATCAGCATAGAGACTGGCGTGCTGATTGGCAGCATGTCGTGTTTTCTGACGAATCCCGCTTTAATTTGTGGTACCATGATGGCCGCATTCGTGTCAGACGCTATGCCGGTGAACGCCATCTTCCTGAGTGCATTATCGAACGCCACAGTGGACGAACACCCGGAGTTATGGTCTGGGGCGCCATAGCATAATCATAGACGATCTCAATTGCTACGAATTGTGGGCAATCTGAACAGCAACCGGTATATCCGTGAAGTTCTACAGCCCGAAGCTGTTCCCTTCCTTCAAAGCTTGCCAGGCGCTGTATTTCAACAGGACAATGCCCGCCCTCATACTGCTCGGATTGTTAAATCCTTCTTTGCAGCGCGCAGCAGGTACAGCTTCTTCCTTGGCCTGCGTGTTCCCCGGATATGTCGCCAATTGAACATGTGTGGGATGTCATTGGTCGGCGTCTTGCTCGTGATCCTCGTCCTGTTGCGTCTGCAGACGAACTTTGGGTACGCGTACAAACGATATGGAATGCTCTTCCTCAGTCAGACATTCAAACTTTGTTTGACTCCATGCCACGTCGTGTAGCAGCACTTATTGCGGCGCGTGGTGGCCACACAAAATACTGATTCTGATCTCTTGTTCTTGTTTGTTTGCTTTGAACATTTAATCATTTATTTGTACCACTACCACTCAACTGTGTATTAAATTGCATTCGATTATGACGATTCCTTCTTGGTGTTGCAATTTTCACAAACGTGAGTATATTTGAGTTCCTCTAAACAATTTGACTTAAGCTCACATCTTTAATTTTGTTATAGCGTCACGAGTCCACTCATTCCAGATATTATGCAGAGTAACGCGGTAAGAAGTTTTAGTATAAATTTGGAAAAATAGCTCGTGAGATTATGATAGGTTGGATTACACATTGACTGCTTGACGTCTAACTTGTCACTTGACAAAAAACGGCTGCTTTCCAACAAGGC